CGTTGTTCAAACTTTACAAACAAAGACTAAAACTAAAAACGTGTCAGTGTCAAAATAGTTACAATTTATGACAATTTATGACAAAACAAGACCACACAAATGAATGAAGGTCTGCTAGATAGCCTTCCTTTTGGTCTCTAGCGCATACGAACAAAAAAAAGATGACAGTTGACATGTCCTGGTCACGCACACTTGATCTTTACTTGAACCTTAAAGCCTTCCTCTGATCATTACTAATCTTAGATAGTGGTTTCGCTTGGATTTGATTAGAAGCAGCATTTATTGTAGTTGTAAAATAACCACAACTCTAAATCTCATCACCGATAGTCTACTACTTGTAAATCAAAGATAGTGGGAGATTAAAGGGAAATTCTTAAAGAACCCATATGATTAGAAGGGCAAACAATCAATACGGTCTCATGACGGTTTATGTCATTCAACCTCAAACTATTTGGCATGGCACACTTCAAAACAGGCAAGTCATTTTTTCCTAAGAACCATATTAAGATACAGTCTGTCTTTTGTCTTTTGACAGGCACACAGCAAGCACAGCACTGATCTATGGGGGGTTTAACCTGTAGCTGATCTCTGGTCTGAGCCCGCAAACACCAGTGGCGAAACAACTGTGTGACCAGAAGGTCAACAGAGCGTTGCTGCGACACACAGATGAACAAAAACACCATAGACGAACAAGAGATTCATTGTTTGCTGACAAAATCCCCCGAAACTTAAAAAAACTAAAACACACAGTATGGGTCAAATGTCCGCAAAACAAATAAATACTGCCCTTAACTTGTGTTTTAAAAAACTACACCTGTTTACTCAAATTCTGTTGACATTATGAACATTTTTTCAGAGCTATTGAGACTTTAACTTCACGGCAACACAATGACTAAGAATGCATAGAATTTGATATTTTGAGTTAACAACAAAGATGGGTATTATTGCATAAACCTGCAGGATCCAGACGGTCCTGTCACAAAGATGGTCCCAGTTAATGTCCTTAACCTTTCCCCATCATCTCGTCATCCTTGACCCCTGAAGCCAATGGCTCAAATCACCGAGTCTAAGAACGATAATTCTGCTAGCCATTTGAGGCGGCCTAGAGGGGCTTTTGAAGGCTTTGAAGGATAAAGTGTATACAAAAGGCTGATTGTTTAAATAAGCTGATGAGTGATTAACACGGTGTCTAGGACCAAGGCAAATCAGATCTAATAGAACAATTAACCAACAAATGGCACTCTTCACTTGACTTCTGGGGCAAAATGTAAAATATATAGATACAGCAGATTTATTAACAGTCATAAAAACGCTAGGCTTCTTCAAGCAATATCATATGACATGAAAATGTGTTCATCCGGTTCCAAGTAGGCCTTTAAAATTCACAATTTCTCTATTTCCTAATGAGTAATGTCAAACTCTGTTATTATGGGTCATCAGACAGCCACAGCCCCTGAGAATATGGGTCAAAAAGTGAAATCTGTGTGTGGGTCATCTTTGTGTCAGTAAATGCAGCTGCTTTGCTGTGATAACATTCCACATTGCACTGTCGCAACAGCAAGCTGGGTCACGCTCGATTCCTGCTTATCATTAACACAGTTGAGACACTGTTGCAGCAGGGTAATGAATCATTGTCTGTCTGGATTGTTTAAATTTGCTAAGCTTACAGTTTTCATAACTGGATTAACCGTTACACACAGTGAAGAACTGACACTGTGCATTCAAGCAATACTGTCTGACACCAGATTTAAACTAGAAAAAGGCAAGAAGTAAACATTTCAAGTAAAGCCTAAGAGCTTTACTTGTCAATAGGCGCATTCACACCGCAGTACTTTTCCCACAAAGGTTCATGAGAACTTAGTTTATGAGGACTCTTTAGTTCTCATGAACTAAGTACAGATCGCGTTCACACCGGAATAAGTTCCTGGGGAAGGATCAGGCCAGAGCCATATAATAGAATCTCTCTATATGGCGAAGAAGTGACGTCAGCGGTTCTTCTTCTTCTGCTTTGGGTTTACTGGCAGGACGCAAACAACTTCACGGCGTATACTGCCACCCGAAGTCTGAAAGTCTTAAACGATATTAAGGCTGCTTTGGATAAAAAATATCTGTTTGTTTTGCATTGTTTATTGACCTAGCCAAAGCATTTGACACTGTAGATCACCACATTCTGTCTAATGTTATGTTGATGTCTCGTTTCGGTCATAATGCCATTTGCTGGTTTCAGAGTTATCTAACCGACCGTACTCAATGCGTCAGGTTGGGTAGCACTGTCTCTGACCCTGTCACCTTGGAGAAGGGAGTTCCACAGGGCTCTATTTTGGGGCCTTTGCTCTTTTTATTATATGTAAACAATATTTGTAACCAGATGCAATTTTCTACCAATCATATGTATGCTGATGACACTATTGTATACTCATGTGCTCCTTCTCTGGATATGGCCGTTTCCAATTTAAAATCAGATTTTATCACGCTGCAGCATGCACTTCTTGATTCTAAACTGCTTTTGAACAGTAAGAAAACCAAAGCAATGCTTTTTGCTCCCAAGTCAGCGTCCTCTTGCCTCTCCATTGACACCCTTGATGGCGTTTCCGTTGAGTTTGTCGAAACATACAAATATCTGGGCTTTTGGTTGGACAGAAATCTAAACTTCAAACACCATATGTTCTATCAAAGAAATTGAAATTCACTCTTGGCTTCCTTTACAAACTTAAAATGTTGTTTTTCAACTTCATCCCGTAAAAGGTTGGTCTCTGGCTTATTCCTGTCCAAGCTGGACTACGGTGATACCATTTATAGATTTCCCTGTCCCACTGTTTTGGCCAAACTTGACCCACTCTACCATGCTGCACTGCGTTATATATCAAATGCACCCTATAGGACTCATCATTGCAAACTGTATAGCCTAACTGGATGGTCCTCACTTAGTATGCAGCATTGGTTTTTATTAATGTATAAAGCCATTTTAGGTAAGCTTCCACTGTACATATGTGCCAGATTTGCTCCAGTTTTCAAGGATGTTAAACGGTGTAAATCCCTGTCATTCCTTTCCGCGACGTTGATCGAATAGAATGAACGTTTCTCGTCGGAAGTCGCTGAAGTCTGTTGAAAAGTTAAATTTTGTCGATAACGTCTGTTCACGACAGTCAAATCTGCCGGACTAAAACCTTACAGTAAGGTTTGGTTTCGCTGGTAATTATTTTTTTCTGAGGAAAAAAAAGGTCGTGAGTCAGGCGTGTCGTCCTTGGAACGCGTTGGCATAGGTCGCGTGACCTAGACTCCAAACATTCAAATTCT